GGGCCTTAATTTAAATTTGTTTTCTGACTTGAAGGCATACAGGTTTGGTTTGCTATGATAGAGAGTTCTTTTATGGCGGTGATGGCATATCCAGTTGTTCTCCAGTAAGTGTTGTACACATGTAATCACAAACTATATTACTGTAGCGACTGGCTGTCAAGCGAAGCATGCTGTAAGAGTTGACCCCTAAAACTTATTGGATGGTGTTTACTAAAGGTGTCTGCAGTCGAGTGCCGCTCAATATCCTCTATGGACCCTCGATCAACACTTGATCAACAATCGATCAACATGCTGCTTGACAATTAAGAGCAACACTCGATCAACATCTCAGCTGACAATCGGCAGAGAGTTGGAAGAGTAATGTTTGATTGATACATATGAGTTGGTTGACACTCTACCGACTATCTGCCTACTATCCACTGACTGTCGATTGAGTGTTGATTGAGGGTCGACCAACTATCGATTGGGATGTTGATAGAGTATCAATAAAGTTGTCGATGGAGTGTTGATTGAGGGTCCATTGGGGGTATTGATCAAGGTTATTGATCTCCTCTCAACCGTAGATGCCTTCAGTACACATGATCCAACTTATCTAGGCCTTCCAAGGTGTTAAGGCTAGTTGCCACATTACCAAATTACATTTGAGTACCGCTGTTACTTAGTGTTGCAATCCATTGCCCTTTTCAGTGATAGGGGGGGCATTTTAAATTCTCTTGTGAGATGTTCAGGGGACAAATTAGTATGTATTTGCCCCCTAAGCATTCCATACTAGCTATTTGAAACAATAGAATTCAAAATGGCTGCCGTATCACTGAAGAGGTCCATTATGAACATTTGCTTTGAAAATTACCTTCAAACTTAAGTTTGGTGGCCTATTGATATTCTTTACATAAAGCCAAGACTAGGGCTAGAACTCAGACTGTTCAATCTGGAGGCGAGCGTACTAATCATGAGGTCACTGCATGGTGTTTATTATATGGTACTTGACAGCTTAAAAAAAAAAAAACAGGGAATTCATGGCTTATGACTGTTTCAAAAATCCTGTTTAAGAAAGAACCAATCAGAATGCTTGGATTAACCTCAAGACTATCTTGCCATATATAATAAAGATCTTTATTCATCCCCATTGATTCATAACCAGTTTTGAGAGGGTTTTTCTTTGTACTTCTTTTAAATTAAATTGTGTAGTTCCAGAAAATATCCATACTTCTCCCACTGATAGGATTAAAATTTCCTGGGTAGGTGGGGTTCTGTAAGACCAAACAATTTAAAGTAATGTATGATTACTTAGCTTAATTGGAATTTCCACAGGGGTAGGGGCCTTCCCTTCCGTGGGGGAGGTATGGATATTGTCTCATTTTGGTAGAAATGAACAATAGCCTCCATTTAGCATGAAAATAATTATGCTAGGATATTTGTCCGCAGACATTATCTGATCTGAGAAGTGAACAATTTTCCGAGGGCATAGCTTGAGGAAAACTGTGAGCTTTGAGGAGCAGATAATGTCCAAGGACAAATTAATGTCCGAGCATATTTTCGCCCTGAATGGAGGCTATTGTGTTTATTATTCTTCAAATCTTTTCCGCAACGTGCACAGTTTTGAAAACTGGGGAATATTCTTAGATACTTTCCAGTTTTAGCTGGGGAATATTCGGTCATGTGACGTGTTTAGACCAATCGCATGCGATCGAAAATATTTGATGGATTATAATTGATATTATATTACATATTATATAATAATTATAATTGTGCAGTTCCAGAAAATATCCATGGTGATTAAGCATTATTGGAATTTACAGAGGGGTAGGGACCTTCTCTTCTGAGGGGGAGGTATGGATATTGTCTCATTTTGGTATAACTGATATTATTCTTCAATTCATGTTGTGCAATGATTATTGGTTTTTTGAGGGTGGAACAATTCTTGGTAGCCCAGATGAGGTGCTTGATCTTGGAGACACAGAGGTCACCCAAGTTGTTTTTATGGATTTCTTCAGTGGAATTGAAGGCCAACATTTTAGGTTTGTCACTAAAACTCCAGCTGGGTACTCCGGATTTCAAGTGACAGGGATGATCGAAGGATTTCAACTGAGGCTTGAAATTTTTGATTTCGGGGATCTTTTGGGTAGGAAAATTTTGGCAAGTATTTTTTTGGGTAGCTTGATTTAAGTAGGGATTTTTTTGGGTATTCCAAACAATCTGAAGATTCATGGAACAGTAGTTCCCAGATGGTGTGATGGATAAACAAAAACAAACATTCCATTACTAATGTTTCTATTTTTTGTGTTATATCATTTAATGCTTTCAGGAAATTTTTATGGCTTGGAAATTTGGCATGGGATTTTTTTGGAGTTAAATTTTGGTCATTAAATTTTTGATTTTTTGGGGGTTTTGTTTGAAGCCTTAGGGATTTTTTGGGGGTTTGATTTTTGCCCCCATTTGATAATCCCTGTCATTTGAAATCCAGAGTACCTCCCCTGGAACTAAAACTAGCATTTAACAAATCATTCTCATCCCAAAAACTATTCAGTAAACATTATTTAGTGGGATTTTGATTTAATATTAATTAATAGGTTATCATAAGGTGCAGTTGAATATTTTAACAGAAACTGTGTAGTATAAATTTTAATATTATTACCATTAATATTTTTAAATGACAAAGTTATGTAAACTTGTTGTAAAGTTGCCGATCTGGAATAAGGGTGCTAATTGCAAAATGCCTTTGAATGGGGGGTGGGGGGTAACATTTTACTTCTTTTGAAAAAAGAGGGCACTAAATTTGAATAATAATTGTGGTGAAGAAATATAAAACAATTTATACTTGTAACAAATGCCATGATAATTTTATAAAATGCAACATACTTAATTTATGCATGTAAAACTTTGTAATTTGTTATTGTTGTTTATTCCTGATAGAGGTGACAATTACCACCTTTTTAAACACAACTGCAATAGCTTCTCTTCAGAAGTTACCATGTTCTTGACAGGCAATAGGATACCTCAACATATTCAGGATCTAAATCCCTCAGAAGTTCTCAGCACATAAGCTTTTATTCATACAGTATGTCTGCAGTACTTTGGTTTTGCCAGAAAGGGTTCACAGTGCAACTTTGTGGGCTGGGCCACTTTGAAAAGAGTTAACCAATCAGAATGTTACTTGAGAACAAAGGATTAAGTCATCTACAATGCATATGTATCAATTACCAATAACATCGAAGAATATAAACAATAGTTCTAAACCAAAGTATTATTGGAAACCCAGCAAAAGTGTGAAGTAAAGCGTACCTCTCAGGAATCTTTTGCCATTTGTCGCTGGTTAGTTTGAACCTAAATCTTGTTTACTTTTCAACAGTTTTGCTTTAGGTTTTGCAAAACAGTTTTTCAAGCTAAATTTTTTGGGTAAAATTTGTAATTCACTGACTGAAGGATTGAAATATTCTGTAGAGTGACTACATAACACAGAGGAGCTCATAGTATCTAATATGTATTCATATCAAACAACCCTTACTCGTTCTCAGCTTATGACTTGATTGATTAGTTTTCTTGAATTCGAAGGTGACCTGTCAGGTAGTCACATTCTAACATTTCAATAGCAATACATTTTTTTATAATAAATGTGTTCAGCATTTTGATGGGTGGTCCAGTCTAATGTTGTGTTACAAGGTTGTCAGTGAGGTTGATACCACCCTTAAAATTTACCATGTATTTAGTTTTATTTAGTCTTAAGAAATGCTACAAACTGCTTCCTGCAAAAGCCACACTTTGGATCTGAAGTATTTTGATCTGATTATGTATATGATCATAACCACAATATTTTTATAAGCCAAGTGCTTAACTTCTTTTTTTCAGGGTCTTTGGTCAGATGGTAAGTCCCATCATCAACTCCATATCAGTGAGACTATCTGGAGGGACATCAGTATCAGGCTCGGCAACATCGTTAAGAGGCCCAGAAACGATATTTGAACCAAGAGATACCCCTTCTTCACAGATGGGTCACTGAGACATCAGCCTGATGGCTGGTGAGTACTGATACAGCACAGTGTAGTATTTAAAGTCACTGCAAAATTATCAAATAAATAGTCACTGCAAAATTAATCCAGTAATTGATGAAAATTAGA